CCGAGCGCATTCTACAAGGGAGTATTCCTTAATGGACTTCGGGAAGACGTTCACGCTGAGGTAAAAATGCATAAGCTGGCGACACTTCAAGAGGTTATGGAGATGGCCCAGCAAATTGAAGATCAAAATGAGGCAGTAGAAAGGATGGGAAGGTGGAATAGTGGACGTGCGGGTGGTTTGGGATGGTCGTACTCAGTCAACGAGGTCCTAAGTGGCCGCACCCCATTTTTGGGGAGCTCTCGTCGATCCAATTCCGGAAGAGAAGTAGGGGAGGTCGGATGAGGTCGCCTTGTGACATCACCCTCCCATAGTCCGTCGGGAGGAGGAACGAGTGGATATCGGAGGTTGTCGGAGGATGAAGTGCAGCAACGAAGGGCAAGAGGGCTTTGCTTCAAGTGTGATGAAAAATATAGCCCCAGGCATCATTGTAAAAGCAAGCAGCAACTCCAACAACTGTTGGCCGCCGAGGATGAGTTGGAAGGGGATGGCGAACCCAAGGAGGAAGAGAACTCTGAAATCGATCATTCGGAAGAGAAGGTAGACCCTTTCCCTTAACTCTGATGGGATTCAATTCCGCAAAAACTATGAAAGGTTAAAGGAAAAATTGGTTCACGAGAGGTGGTAGTGTTGGTTGATGGTGGGGCGTCCCATAGTTTTGTGTCGAAGGCGGTAGTGAAGGAATTGGGGCTGCTTTGTGACTTGTCGGCCAAGTGCGGGGTGCAGGTAGGCAACGGAATGTGGTTCAAGCAACAGGGAGTTTGTAGGGGTTTGGAGTTGTTCATACATGGAGGATTTCTTCCTATTTGATTTAGGAAGCACATCGTTGTTTTGGGAGTCACGTGGCTATGGACCTTGGGAAAAGTAATGGCGGATTGGTCTCGGTTTACTATGGAGTTCAAGGTGGGGGAGAATTGCGTGAGTTGGATTGGGGATCCCGCTTTATGTTGCGAGCCGGTGAGTTTCCGTTCGATGACTCAAACGTGGGGGGACACTCAAGTGGGGGTGTTGTTGGAACTTTGCGAAGTTGTGGGGAAGGGGGGCGGTGAGCAACCTGTGGCCATACCGGGAATGTTGCAATATGTGATAGCGGAGTTCGGGGATGTTTTTGAGGAGATTAAGGGGCTGCCCCCGAAATGGGCTCGTGATCACCGTATTATATTGAAGGACGGGGCCGATCCTCCAAATATTCGCCCTTACCGCTACCCGCATTTCCAAAAGGGGGAGATTGGTAGCCGACATGATTTCTTCTGGAATCATTCGTCCTAGTAGTAGCCCGTTCTCTAGTCTAGTGCTCCTCGTGAAGAAGAAGGATAGGAGTTGGCGCTTCTGTGTCGATTACCGGGTTTTGAACCAATTGACCGTGCCAGACAAGTTCTCGATACCGGTCATCGATGAGTTACTTAATGAGCTCCACGGAGCGAAAGTGTTCTCTAAGTTGGATTTGAGGGCGGGGTACCATCAAATCCGAGTACATGAAAGACGATGTTAAGAAAACTGCTTTTCGGACGCATGAGGGCCACTATGAGTTCTTGGTGATGCCTTTTGGCCTCACTAATGCGCCGGCGACGTTTCAAGCCCATATGAACTCGGTATTTCGTCCTTTCCTTCGCCGGTTTGTTTTTGTGTTCTTTGATGACATCTTGGTCTATAGTAGGACCATGAAGGAGCATCGGAAACACTTGGTTCAGGTGCTAAAGGTGTTGAAGCGGGAGAAGTTGTTTGCTAACATGAAGAAGCGTGTGTTTGGCCTGCATAGCTTGGAGTATCTTGGTCATCGTTTTGGGCGAGGGGGTTGCTCCGGACCCCTCCAAGGTGGCAGCAATAAGCTCGTGGCCGACTCCTAAAAATGTCTTAGACGTGTGCAGGTTTCTTGGGCTGACCGGATACTATCGGCGGTTTGTGCGAGGCTATGGTGAGATTGCACGGCCCTTAACCAATTTGCTCAAGCGGGGTGGGTTTGATTGGGAGGACGGTGCGGCAGGAGCCTTCGCGGCCCTTAAGAGGGCCATGACCATTCTACCGGTATTGGCGATGCCCGGCTTCAGCAAAACCTTTGCGATTGAAACTAACGCGTCGGGGGCTGGCCTTGTGCAAGAAGGCCAACTAGTTGCATTTTTTTAGCAAAGCACTATCGGAGACAAGTCGGTTGAAGTTCGTATACGAGAGAGAGTTGATGACTGTGGTGTTTGCCATACAAAAGTGGCGCCACTACCTATTGGGTTGCCGTTTTGTGGTCCGCTCCGACCAACAAAGTCTCCGATACCTATTGGATCAGCGGATGCTACCACCGGAGCAATTGTGATGGGTTACCAACTTCTTGGGTACGATTTTGAGGTGCAATTCAAACCGGGAGCTGCTAATAGGGTGGCGGACGCTTTCTCTCGAAGGGGGAATGAGCAGCCATTGACCCTCACGGCCATTTCCATGCCGCAGCTGTTGGATGTGGGGGATATTCGAAGGGGGCAGCGGGTGGATGACCAGTGTTTGGGGTTGCTAGCAAAGTTGCAGGCAGGAGAACAAGTCAGGGAAGGATATAGTGAGAAGGAGGGATTGTTGCTCTATAAAGACCGGGTAGTTTTACCGCGTTCTTCACCATGGATACCCTAATTGTTGCACGAGTTCCATGACTCGGTGGTGGGAGGCCATTCGGGGAACCACACTTATAAGAGGGTGTCAAGCAATGTGTTTTGGCCCAGCATGAAAGAGGAAATACGAGACTATGTGGCTCGGTGCAAGGTTTGCCAAAGTGCCAAAAGTGAGGCCATATTTTCGGCTAGGTTGTTGCAACACTTCCCAATTCCAAATAGGATTTGGGAGGACATCTCCATGGATTTCATTGGCGGCCTCCCTAAATCGGAAGGGCGAGACGCAATCCTAGTAGTGATGGATCGGCCGTCCAAGTTTGCACATTTCTGCCCTCTTGCTCATCCTTTTTCGGCGAAGTCCGTGGCATAGTTGTTTGTACGTGAGATTGTTCGGCTCCACGGGGTTCCCTGTTTGATTGTGAGCGATCGTGATCCTATTTTTATGAGTTCCTTTTGGTGAGAGCTATTCAAACTCCAAGGAACCCGGCTACAAGTAGTTCCGCTTACCACACCGAGTCCAATGGCCAAACCGAGCGGGTCAACTACTGCTTGGAAACGTATTTTCGGTGCTTCGCGGGTGCTAAGCCAAGGCTGTGGTTGAAGTTTCTTCCATGGGCTGAATACTGGTTCAACACGACCTACAATGCTTCGACTAAGCATACCCCCTTCTACATTGTTTATGGGCGGCATCCTCCTGTGTTGTATTGGTTCCAAGACATTCCTTCGATGGATGATGAGGTAATTAAACAAATGCAGCTCTGTAACCACATGTTAGATGAGCTCAAGGAACAATTGGCGAATGCGCAACAACGCGTGAAGCAATTCGCTGACCAGCGGCGGAGAAAGGTGAGCTTTGAGCCTGGTGACTGGGTACTCCTCAAGCTGCGGCCGTACAGGTTGAAGTCATTGGCCAAGAAGCGTAATGAGAAGTTAGCTCCTCGCTATTATGGTCTATTCGAGATTGCTGAGAAGATTGGCACCGTGGCATATCGGCTACTACTTCCTGAGGACACACGTATCCACCCGGTCTTCCATGTTTCGCAGCTCAAGGCTTTTCGGGGCGATGCACCACAGAGTCAGCCACTGCCGCCGCAGCTTACAGAGGAGCTCGAGCTCTTAGTCCAGCCAGCGGCCTTACTGCGAGCCCGTCCTTCTCATGACGGGGGGCCCCATGACTTGGACCTCCTCATTCAATGGGAGGGACTGCCGGAGTGGGAGGCCACTTGGGAGCCTCTAGACTCCAATTGCTGCCAATTGCCCGACTTCAACCTTGGGGACAAGGTTGATCTTGAGGAGGAGGGGGTACTGTCAGACCTTTACTTAGGAACGTTTATACTAGGAGGGGTAAGGGTGGCAAGAAAGGAAGAGTTGGGGGCCAGGGAGTAATTTCAGAAAGTGGCTAGAAGGGTGACGTGGCAAAAACAAGTGGGATTCAGGGTAATTGGGGATCGAAATGCTTAGTGGAGGGGTTAGTATGGATTTTTTTGGTTGTCTTTGTTTTCTCCACCGACGGTGGCTGGGAGTTCCGGAGTACTCGAAATCTCCAGGTTTATCTTGTTTTCAGTTGTCTAGCATAAGTCTTGTTGCTGGTTGATTCAATAAAAGTTTCCCTGATTCCTTTCAAATTCTTCTCGTTGTGCATCTGTGTGTGTGAGTGTTGTGTGATTGGCTGAGAATTACTAGGTTCCTTACAGTATCATCTTAAAATACTAATCTTTAACATGCATATTCAAAGTATTACAAATCTGTACTTGTTCAGTTCGCAACTTACAACTGCCTAATTGGTTTATAGCTGATCGATCAACTAACTTTGTTTCAGATGGATTATATAAATTCTTCAAATCCAAATTTCCTAGGTGGTAGCAAAGCTGTTGAGCTTGCTCAGAAACAGTTGAGATCTCCACAGGTACCTTCTACTACCACTTAGGGCAAAATTAGTTTTCACAGCTCACAATAAGTATGGTCTTTGGCGCCATGGAGGACAGTGAGTGAGGTGAATGTTTGCTAATTGCGTGATCGGCTTTCAGATATTTGTTCTTTTAGATAGTGCTATGAGATTTTATCCTTGGAGTTGGTTGTGAACTTCTAATTCTTGGGTTGAATTGATCAAAAATTGAGGAAAAGGATGTGCCCTTGAGGTTGTTTTTTTTTTTTTTTTTTTTTTTTAAAAAAAATTTTTTTTTTATATTTTATTTTTTACAAGCACTTCTAAAAAAAATTGAGGTTTTTTTTTTTTTTTTTTTTTTTTTCTCTAAAAAAAAATTGTTCTATGATATTTAATTATTACAAGCACCTGCTCATACTTATTTTTTATTTTGGATCAACGACATGAGACAGATTTGGGTTATAATCTAATGAAGTCTAGTTTTGGATAAAATAAGAATTCCCACAGATTAATTTTGCAGTTCAGACTTTTGAAATTCAGCTGGATAGTTGAGGTGGACATTCTGATGTGTTTTTTTATATGTTACAGGGCAGTACGGATGCTGGAAAGGCATCCTTCATGGAGAAAGGCCAAAATTCTCTGGCTTCTCTGGCTGCTCTTCCTAGGTCGGTTGTGAATGGAGCTTTATCAAACGGTCGAAACCAGGTATTCTTTGTGTTTGTATTTCTCCCTCAAGGAGAACTCAGTTTATACTTTATTCCTATGTATCATCTTCTACTTGTAGCGGGGTTTGTGATTTGGTCAAAGTCAGTTATGAATTTCAGTGAAATCAGGTTGCACTTGCCTATATTTGAAAATTCAATCAAATTAAAACGGTTTTAATGCTATCTTCTAAATAAATTTTTATTTAATTTTGATTTGGTTGACCGGAACTTTGTACAACGGGGAACATAATCACATATACCGACTACATGAGGCAATAATTATAGGACAGAATCATTTTAGAACCTCTTTCTTATGATTATTTTCTTAATTCATGTTGATAGAGGTTGGTTTGTGGTGAAATTGATATAGATTAAGCAGAGCAATGAGAAACTAAATTTCCTTATTTAAATCATTACAAAAAAATTTTAGGGTCAACTATTGACTTGACATTAAATAGATGGTATTTATTTCTTTTTCCCCCCATTTAGATCACAGTTCTGCTTGTCTTTGATAATTTGTTTTAAAGATCTATATCTTATCTTAGGCTTGATTTCTGGCAGGGAAGTCCTTCAGTAAACAATGAGAAACCTATATCATCTGGTAAATTCTTGCACATCATTAATAAGATTATTAATGCTAGCATCTTGGTTAACTTGATATTTTCAAATATAGCAGGAAATGCATCTGCGAGGACTTGGGGGATTTCATCTATATTTGGGAGCAGGGGATCATCTGGAGAGGGACCAGCTAGCAGCAGATCTTCAGGTGAGCCCGATCATTCTGATCAGATGCCTTCCAGGAGGATCAGTCTGACAAAGGTAATTACATGGCCTTACAGTGGTTGATTCTTAATGTTTAATTTGTCATCCATCTTTTTATATATTTCTGTCATTTTCTAATTTCAACCAGTTTTTTCTTTTTACTGCACTGACCGATCTCAGCCCCCATCCACATTAAGGGAACTTGAAACAACAGGGAATCAAACACTAGAAATTTTGGTAACCAAATTACTCCTGCAATCATACTATGACATTGTCAGAAAGAACGTTCAAGACCTAGTTCCAAAAGCTATAATGCATTTTCTGGCAAGTCTAGTTATTTCTCCTTTGTCTGTGTGATTTACTTCTAAGTTTCCTTTTTTTTTTTTTTTTTTTTTTTCATTTAACATATCTTCTCTTTCTGCTTAATGTGCTTTAGGTCAACCATGCAAAACGGGATCTTCATAGGACCTTCATACATAATCTCTACAGGTATATAGTTCGAAAACAGCCTTTTCTCTTTTTGTTTAAATGTGAAGTATTACACTTTTGAAGACTGATTCCTTGTTAAATTTTTTTAATTGATTTCTTTTATTTGTCTCACGACGCATGAGTGAGAAAAATAAAATTTTTGAATGTAAAGTATGGCATGGCAAAATTATGTGTTCATCCAATGAACTTGTATGTAGATTTAGGAGCTATTAACTGTGGAATTGGGAGACCTGAGTGAAATATGGTGATTTGCCGATAGTTTGGAGCTTATGACGTTTATTTTACATTGATAGCCATGCTTTGGTATAGTTCTATATGGAATAAAAGTTTTTGATTTTGAGAGGAAGAATATCAACTTCATAAGTTCGCACCTTTTGTAATTTGCTGACATAGCTCTCGACACAAAGGACTCTACTGGCTAGAGAAGTACTGATTATTAGGCACGAAAGTCATCGGTCGTTATCACTCTGTAGCTAAAATAGTTTTAGTTGTAAAATTGGCTAGAATTTTAACAGCTCAACAGAGGAAGGAAAATGAAGTGAAGACACGTGGGCAAGTCTACATGGTTACTGTGTACTGTAGTATATAGGAATAATACTGTAAACTGATTTGGTTTTGGAATCAACCAATAGGATTAGAGCCTTATTAATCCGTTAAAACTAAATGTGTTAAATAGAAGATTTTTACTGGTTTTTTCATTCTGAAGTCGGTTAGAGAGAGAAGATAGTGAGAGAAGCTCTAGAGGAGAGAGAAGCTCTAGAGGTTGTACTATCTTGATCTGCCATTGATTAGAATAAAAGCTTTGTTGAGGAATTCTTTCGATTTCTTTTTCTCTTTGATTTGTTGTGTGTGTGATGTGGTGATTCAATTGTGTGGTCTGAGAATTGTTCTGGGAATTTCTGAGGGGTTTTTACAACAGTTTTGAATTTTGGATGGGAGAAAGTAATGATGATTCCTGGTTTTGAGCTTGTTTTTCTGCCGGTATTTATGCAGAGAGGACCACTTTGACACGCTGTTGGAGGAGGAGGATGACGTTGTCTTGAAAAGGAAACACGACCAAGAACTCCTTCAGGTTTTAGAGAAAGCCGTCCAGGTAGTAAAATATGTTCGTTAAGAGTTTCTTGTCCCTATTTATTTCTTCATATTTAAGTTCAGCATTCGGAAGTTTTATTGTCAATGACTTTGCCAGCTTCCGCTTCCGAGTCCTTTTCTCAATCTCTACTTCACGGAGGAAATTCCATCTAATCTTCTTTTTCACTTGTATGCTTTTCGTGATAGATGCTTGAGGAAGTTGAATCTGACGTCTCAACACGAAGTTCACATTCAAGCTCTAATAGTGATGATGCGACCAATGGTTTGCCACGGGCTACTACGGGGATTTCATCTCGTTGAAATTTCAAAACCAAAGTTGAGGACATGCCATCTTACGTTCTCATCCCTTAGTAATTTGAGAGCTCGAAAATAAGAGCAGCCTCATTTCCGCCAGCTTGTTATGCGGTGGAATGCAAAAGTCATTTGCGAGTCTTAAAATTCTGTCCTACTACTATATACATGTCAATCCATCCACGTACGAACGAAGCCGGAAGTAATTTTGTAGCGCCCTGAGGAAAAAAAAAAGGAAAAATAGCTCGAGCGGCTGATTCAAATTTCCCATTTTCATAGAGTAGCACATTCTTGGATTGCATTGTATTTGTGTGTGTGTGTGTGTGTGTGTGTGTATTCAACGGAAACAATGCAGGTTTTTGTCTGCTGGCACTTCTGAATTCTGAAATTAGACGGATAAAATAGCTTGACGGCAAAAGATTAGTACTATGGGTAGCAATTCGTGTCACGTGTCGTGTTTTGATAGTTTCTTCTTAAATTTACAGTCAATTCGAATACGACCCGTGACACGAAATTTTTAAAAACCGCAACACGAACACGACACGATCACTTTACGGGTTGGCGCGGCACGACACGAAAATGACTCGTGACACGGAATTGATCCGTGAACTTGAAATTGACACTATAGTTATATATATTTTTTTAAAATTTTTTACATATTAAAAATAATTTAAAATTTATAACACACTAAAATACAATAATATCCATTAAAATTAAGCAAATAATAATATAAAATTTTGAGTATAACTATCATGATATTATAAGTTCATAATAAAATTTAAAATATGTAATGAATAATATATATATATATATTTTTTTAATTTTTTACGAGTTTCGTGTCGTGTTCGGGTTAGACGGGTTTAACCCGAAATTGATTTGTGTTTTTCGTGTCAATTTCAAGTCGATCCAATTCTGATCTGAATTTTTTTTTCTCAACCCTAATCCGTAAAATTCGTATCTTTTTCGAATCGTGTTATCGTATCGTGACTCATATTATCGGTCTAATTAGTACGAACTTAGGTAATACATAGACGGCATAACGAGTATAACTACCAAGTCTCATGTATATTGCCATCTTGTTTTTGGCCTCTTTAAGACGATAGATTGTACTGATTACTGATTCACACTGTATTTGGTTTGTATTTATGTTTTCGAGTATGCCGTTGGATTAATTTGGAACTCACTCGTTTTAATTCAACATCTCCTCACAAATCATATCTAGAGATCTAACTGAAGGAAACTGAAGTCTGCGCACAAGATCCCAAGAGAAAGAGGGATGGCAAGAATATGGAAATTCAAGCATCCGCGCTCCATGTACGGAAATATACTTGTCCATGCCATCTATACAATAAATCTTATAGAACAAATATCTCATCACCCAAAAGAAAAGAAAAGAAAAGAAAAAAGATCAATCACTATGTTCACATTTAGTGTTGTGACTATATTTTGGGTTCGATAGCATTTTCCACCAACTATACACCAGCACTTGAAAGTCCAAGTCCTTGGCCTCAGAAACAAATGATACCATTTGATGGTTCACAATCTCCTGTGCGTCCTAATGAAGTTCGTTGTATTCAAAACCACAGCAGAATGGCACGCATAGGCGCCACCAGAGCACAAGGCCGCTGTCACCAACAGAAGCGCCTTCCATTGTCTTCCGGATGCCAGTATCGCCAGCGCAGCCAACACCACGGCAACAGCAGAGAGGCCATTCTTCCACGCTTGGAAAGCCTTGACAACCTCTCTACACCCTTTGCAATGAATGACATGCCGGAAATATCGGTTGGCCAAGTTGGGAGCGTGCACTGTCCCAATCCCTCCCTTGGCCGGGGAGGAAGCCGAAACATTTGCGACTACTCCAGCAGGGGCATGTTCCACCACAGCTGGCTCTTTGGGTAGTGATATGGTGCTGTGCCCAAAATGATAGGGCATTCCATGACCCACCTTGTCCATCCACCTCCTGTACTCAGCCACCCAAGTATCTGAAGACCTCAAGTTGAGGTAAAGCTCTTTGGTAGGTACTTTTTCTCTCATGAGAACCTCGTTTTGGGAGGAGAGAAATCCCATGTCTTGCTCAAATACTTTACAAGCATTCTGATGGAAGTACCACTCAGGAAACAACTTAATCAAAGGTGATCTTCTTGTGTTCCCAAACCTCACAATCAGCATGGACTTCCCTTGCCCACTCGGTCTGCACAAGAACAAACCTGTGAAGTAATGCTTCTCTCCATTCTTGTCCACAATCTCGCGATTGTTCTGAAGAACGCACGGCGCATCAAACCGCAAGTAGTTAAGCAACTCCGGTTCGGATGATCGGCCCCACCACCCTGCGAAGCCTCGGTCGGAACGTTCACTCACTTTGAAAGCCAATGGCTGCGCGTCCTCTCTCTTAGCCGTCCAATCCGTGCGGTCGTGCGAGATGGGAACGTGGGCAGGGTCCATGAGATTCTCCAAAAGTATGGAGTGGTCGTATGGGAGCTCGTGGATAGTTGAGATGTCGTTGAAGCCGGGCCTCGCGAAGTTCTCGAACCAAGGGAGCTTACTGGGGTTTGGTGGAGCCTTTTGGGACATCCAAACCCATATTACGCCTTGGGAGTCTCTAACCTCGTACGGCTTCAGACATGCCGCTCGAGGAATCTTGGCATCAGCTGGAAGCTAAACGTATGTAGATAATAGTGCATATGTTGGATATGACATGACTATTAGTAATTTGGATTGTCAAACTTGATGAAAATATTACAAGGTAAATCTCAAACCAAAACGTACGTACGGACCTGAGGGATCTTTACACATTTTCCATCACCTTCAAATTGCCAACCATGGTATAGGCATTCCAGTCTTCCATCTATTATCTGCCCTTCTGATAGTTTTGCCAATCTACATATAAACATACATGAAATTTGATCATTGAAAAGCATAACAACCATCTAAGCCATGGAATAATGGAATTAGAACATTAATTGGGTTGAAAAAAAATGCTTAAAATTTGCAATTTTTATTATTTACGTTAAGAATAATTAGACACCTTAATTATTCTGTATTATCGAGAATAATAAAATTGTCAAAGAAAAATAAACAAACAAGAACAATGATGATTTACCCTCAATGTAAGACCTACGTTCGAAGCAGAATTCTACTGCGATGAAATATATATATATATATATATATGTGTGTGTGTGTGTGTGTGTGTGTGTGCGCACATATATATTACAAAAAGAAATCGCACGTGTTAACTCTTGGTCCATTCACCTGTCGCTCTATAATTAACACTTTATTATTCATTCCTTTCTCCCACTTTGGTGAACATGAGATTTGATCCACTAAATTTTTGAACTAAGTGATCACTTTACCAACTTGACATACAACTAAATAAGTTATTGTTAGGAAATTATATTTCTTAATAATAATTATAAACCACATATTTATAATAATTATATTAATATTATTTAATTAATTGAATTAATTAAGTGATTTAATTATAGAGAGTCTAATAGTCTCCTAATTGAATATAGATTAAATGAGTTGATATTTAATATTGATTTAATTAAGTTTGATGAGAGTTTAATGAGACAGTATATAAAAAAAACTTAAATTATGATAACTAATACGTCAAATTATTCGGTTGTTTTTTTTCTCTATTTAGAGAGAAAATACCTCATTTAAGAATCTAATAATTCAACTGAGAAAGATAATAACTGAACGCGCTTATTATCTTAAAAATTTTTATTAAAGATTAAGGGGTTGTTTGGTTAGAGGATTCAAATTATGATTTGAATCATGATTCATAGTTCACTACAGTATTTTCTTAAAAAAAAAATACACATAAATTAAAAATAACTCTAATCACATTATTCTAATTCATGATCCAAACATCTGCTAAAACTACATGCTAAAACTACATTGATGGATCTCTAACTATTTATTCTAACATATTTTCTTAATAATTTAATGTCTAAAAATGTGAAATAAGGATTTACAAGGAACAGATAGCGCTACCTGTGGGGACACCGATCTTCATGACACCGCAACTCGCCGGCGCCGTCCCGGTACAAAACGAGCTGCTTATCAAAGACAGTGAGACCCAACGGCGCGTCGTGAGGGAGGTTCTTGGTGAGGTACAGAGGGTACCACTCCTCCGTCCAATCGTACTCCGCCACGACCTTCTCCCTCCTCCGATCTTCCTCGCCGGTGGGACCCACAAAGACCTTGTTATCATCGTCCGTACGGGCTTTTAAGTCCGCGACGGCACTGCACTTGGTGTGGCTCAACCTTTTGGGCGCTGCTGGTATTTTTAACGGTTTGAATAGTATGAGCGGGTGTGAATGTGAAGTGAGAGAGAGGAGATATTTGGTTGTTGGGAAGAGGAGAGAGGAAGAGATGAGGGAAGTGGAGAGGGCCATAACAAGTGATTGGGATATTGGAGAAATGATGGAGAGAGAGAGAGAAAAGAGCAAATGTTAATGAAGCCAGCCATATTGTTGGGAAGGAGAATTGGAGAAGGAAGTAAAATGTTCTACAACTGTTGGTCATTGCTTGTTGCTTTGTCCCGCCACTCCTGGCCACACATTCTTTTGATGCTTTACTCTCATCTCATTCTCATGACAATACCTCTTTTTCTTTTTCTTTTTTTTTTGTCTTTTTTCCTTAAATCTTTTTTGACCATTAATGTCAAGGTATTGTAAATTCATCATATCTTGTACCATAATTGGATGCTCAGATTAATTCTATTTATTTCGTTAAGTTTATTTTCTTTTTCTGCCTTTTATCTTTTTTTTTTTTGCTTGTAAATTATATATTTATATTCACTTACTTTCGTGTCGTTGGACGGGCGACTTGTGAAAATTATTATACGTAAGAAACTAGACTTCTTGAATACAAAAAAAAAAAATAAAAATCAAAGGAAAAGAAAAAGCCTTGTACACAAAACGACATGTTTTGAAAATAATTTCAACAAAAAACCACATGTGGTTTAGTTGTCTTAAACGACTAAAAACTTTTGTTTTTCACCATGAACGACAGGAAACTTAGCCACCAAATTATGCCGTTTAGCGAGAAGTGAATCGCCTCGTTCACTTTGCGGATTCGAATTGAAATGTAACATTTTTTAAGAATTTTTTACTGTAATAGAAGAAGTTAAATGTAATATTTTATAAAAAATTTTTACTATAAAAATTTAAAATTAAAAACTTAAATCAGTAAAATAAATAAAATTATATTAAATTTATTTTTAACTCAAATTCTTCCGAAACAAACACAAAACAAACGATGCCACAATTTACTGATATATGACTGGAATCTTTACTGACACCTACATGTCGTTTCATTCCAAATTACAGCAATATTTAACCTGAAACCACGTGTTTCCGCGCTCAGACGACAGCAGACTTGTAAAACGAAAAGTACGTGTCGTTTCATTGGAGGGACATATTTTCTTCGTCAATTAATTCCCTCCAGTTTTCTTCTCTTCTCCGAGAATCCGAAATTGGGGTTTCACAGTGGACTGGACGCCATGAAAATAGCAGTAGAAGGATGCATGCATGGCGACCTCGACAACGTCTACAAAACCCTCAAATACTACGAAAGAGTTCACGACACCAAAATCGACCTCCTCCTCTGTTGTGGCGACTTTCAGGTATTCATTCCATTGCTTCACTTTCAAGCCCTAATTTTGTGGTTTTTGAAAGCTTCCGAATTCACTAATGGCGGATCAAATCATTGTTGTTTATTAATCAGGCAGTGAGGAATGAGAAGGATTTGGAGAGCTTAAATGTCCCGCCCAAATACCGATCCATGAACTCCTTTTGGAAGTACTATTCCGGCGAGGAAGTCGCTCCCTATCCCACCATTTTCATCGGCGGAAATCACGAAGCTTCCAATTACTTGTGGGAACTGTGAGTTATCAATGCGAAGGTTTTTGATGAATTTTTCAGAAGTAATGCGTTTATATGTTTATTCCATTGCTTGAATTGTGTTGTTCATACACTAAATTTAGGTACTATGGAGGATGGGCAGCGCCTAATATATACTTTTTGGGATTTTCTGGAGTGGTCAAGTTTGGGAATCTTCGCATTGGTGGATTGTCTGGAATTTATAATGCTCGCAATTATCATTTGGGTTTGTTCTTGTTCTATATCTCCGTTGCGGTTTTGCTTGAACTGTTGTTGTAGTTGTAAAAGCAGGCACTAGTTGTAAAGCAGGCACCTAAAACCTCTTGTTGATTCTTGGATGGGCATATTGTTTGGTTTCTATCACTATTTTGCTCTCAAATTTTAGCTTGATATTTTAAAGTGAACATTTGTATCCGAACGAGCTAATAGAGATTGGGTTATTCTTAAGGTACAATTTAATAGCTACCATCTTGGCTATTATCCCAATGCATAGTATCGGGATCCTGCAATTTTCATTTGTTGAGTTTAGTTTTTTTTTTTCTGAGCAGGACACTTTGAGAGGCCTCCATATAATGAGAGCACTATTAGGTCCATATATCATGTACGCGAATACGATGTCCAGAAACTCATGCAAGTCGAGGAACCGATAGATATATTTCTTTCGCATGATTGGCCTCTTGGCATCACTGACTGTGGGAACTGGAAACAACTTGTTAGATTCAAGCCATTCTTTGAGAAAGAGGTGAGATTATATGTTAATGAACTTACAAAGTTAGGTAGTATTTACATCGCATGTTAGAAAATGGATCTGAACATCGTTTTTCATTTTAATTTCCTTGTTGTGATGCCTCTTATGCTTGTTAGCTGAAGCTGGTGTTAATGATATAATTTCAGTTGATTTCTTAAAACAAAAATGAAAATGTAAGAAGAAAACATGATATATCTGTCGACACATGGTAAGAAAAACAAAATGTTATCAGTCCATTCATACACGATATCTGTGAAACATATGCAGCGGAGCTTGAATTTCTTCTGATTTTTGTTGTTAATCTATTCTTGTTTCCCCATTTGGTTTAATTTACTGCATCAAAAGAATATATTGTTTTTACTTGTTGTGATGTTGTCCAGATTCAGGAAAAAACTCTTGGAAGTAAAGCTGCTGCGGAACTGCTGCAAAAGTTAAAACCTCCTTATTGGTTTTCAGCCCATCTACATTGCAAATTTGCTGCTCGTGTTCAACATGGGGAAGGTGGCCCAGTGACAAATTTTCTTGCTCTGGATAAGTGCCTTCCAGGGCGTAAATTTTTACAGGTACTTGATGTGATGTTATTGTATTTATAGAATATTGGGTCTCTTTTGTCACCGTTAACATCTAACATCTGTTTGTGATATTGGCTGGTGCTTTAAGATCGTTGAAATTGAATCGGCATTAGGACCTTATGAGATTCAGTATGATGAAGAATGGCTAGCTATAACTCGGAGGTTCAACTCTATCTTCCCTCTGACCAGGGAAAGGGCAAACTTTAGGTGTGTAGACGTTAAAAATACTTAGCCACCCTTCCTTCCCTTCGGGAATCCTTTTAATTTCTGTGTTCTGACATTCTGTAAGCGTAAGAGGGAGCCACTAACTCTGCTTTATATACAACAGGGGTTTACATCTTGACATGCAAGATTGTCGCCAATGGGTCAGGACCAAGCTACTAGAAAAAGGAGCCATACCTTTTGTTTTTTCAAGGATGGTTCCGTGTTATGATCCGTCTAAATCCGTCTCCAGTAGTTCATTTCAAGGCATGCTTAATTAATATGGTCCTTTTATTCTTTTATACAAACATTTTAATTTTTGTGTTGTATAAAAGAAACATTGACAGTAGTTTGAACTTCATTTTGCAGGATATACTAGGAATCCTCAAACGGAGTCTTTGTTGCAGTTTCTAGAACTTCCTTATCTCCTTGATAACATGACAGAATCCTCAGAAGTATCAAACAGCCCTGTTTCATCGATTCATAGAGGTAAAAAGTTGTTTCCGTTCATGGTAGACATTAACTACTCCCTTTACCATGGCTAAAAGAGCCTATAGATGGCTAAAAGAGCTTAGAAATGAACTACTTCAGGGACAAAAAGCTAAAGAATACAACGATCTTTGTTTGTGGTATAGTCCGGCTGATATTTTCTTATACTGAGAAACATAATCACTGTTCTTGTCCTCTCTGGTTTTCTATCTCTACAAGCCTCACTTCCTGAAACTAGTTATCAAATGTCTATCCGTAGGTTCCCTTGATCATAACAGCGAAGACATCCCCCTTGATGATGAGGATGAGTCGGAAGAAGTTGCGGAAGATGACGTGTAAACTGAAAGATAATAAAGTCTGAAGAGATAATAAAGTCTGAAGCTCCACGGTAATATCTTCCTCGCAAATTATTTCTCCTCAGCATTTACATAATTGGTGCATAATCACGTTTGTACTTTCTAATCCATTTTTATATAATAGAACCAAATATACATATATGCTTATACAACTTGCTCATTTGAACGGTCTGGTTCTATTTTTCCAACTCACCCGTTTTCTTTCTTTGGCCCCATTTGTTGTAAAAAATTCGTTAATCGAAGAGTCCCAAATTCTTTGTATGCTAGGTGGGCCTAGGATAATAAAAAGTCTGATAACTTAGAAGGATATTAAAGAAATGGTGGTTAACCTAGACGTTTGCTTTGTTTGTCGGACACTGATGTCAGATGGGCTATACATGGAAGGCTATCCATCATATTGGCTTTGGAGAGCAAAACCATATGACGCATGTGACGAGCAGGATGGAAAAGCCGTTATGGAAAGACAACCTTAATGATTGATGCAGAGGCATGGTCGATAATATGGGGTGGTCATTAGGCGAAGCTGTGTTGTAGCTGGCTGGAGCACACCCACCTAAATGTCTCAAATGGCTGGTTGACTTGTCCTTGGCCATTTAAGAGCCATTTTTTTTCCCTGCACAACTTTCCATGCCCGATCTTGCCGACAGATATGTTACAAGGATTTAAATGATTTTCTCTTCATGAGTTCTTGACGTGAAGCTTTAAGCAAAATACACGATTAGTGTACAGACTTGAATGATAGGGTTTGCTAGGTAGATCCTGCTATGGACAACGGCTGTCTGCTTCCTTACTTTCTTTGGTTGATAATCGCTTGTTGTCCTTTTTATTCACTCACTGATTGTGACTTGTGAGTTTGTACTTTGTACTCTTTCTTTTGGTACAAAAAATTTTTCTACGTTGGATATTTTAGAAAGTTTTGAGACAAAAACGATGATAATCTCGGCTGGATTGAGGGCGAATTTAGTTCAGGTGTTTAGAATAATCATAACCAACTTCTGTTGTGCATTCTACTTTCCATTATTATTTTGGGAGTTTTGTAAGACTAGAAAAAAATAAATTATCAATAGTTTTATACTTTTTAAGTCATTAGATTTGTATTAAAAATTATCTGTTTATAGATCTAAAGTTAGAAATTGGCTTTACAAATTTGTATTAAAAATTATATGTTTATAGATGTAAAGTTAGAAATTGGCTTTACCGACTTACTGGAAAAAATTCCTATTATTTTTAGTGAAAAGAGAAAAGTAATAGTCTAAAGACCATGTAGTCAGAAAATTTCTCGACTTTTAAGTAATAATGGTCCGTTTATTTCTCGACTTTTAAGTAATAATGGTCCGTTTAGTTTGTTGATTCGAATTTTTAATTTGAGTTGAGATGTGATTTTATGTGAGAGTTTTTTACTACAGTAAAAAAGTTAGATGTGACTGTTTTGAGAGTTTTAAATTGTAACAAAACTCAAATCGGTGAAATGAACCGGATCCATGTAGAATATGAATTTTTTTCACTGAGATAAATTTCTGATATAACTTGCTCAAAAATCTAATTGTGGAGAATGTACAGTCTATCATGATTCTCGGGTTTAGCTAATAGATTTTAAATGCGTGATATTGTTTGATAAAGGCGTTCTGATAGTAATTTCATTACGGGAAAAGAGGTTCCCTCTCCTCAAAGCTGTTAGGGGAAGTCAAAATGATCCCGAGCGCAGCTTCATTTAATAGAGTCGGAACTTTCTCTATCTCTCCCTATCGCATACAAAACACAACATCAACTACATTACTCAAAAAGTGTTAATCTAGTAGACCCCATCTACTTTCTGACATCAACTAACCTTATAAATGCATAATTAAATTGCCTCATCTGTTCTCTCACGCACGCCCTGAGATAGTTCCAATTCAATGAATGCATGTGACAGAACTACAAAGAGTATTTATCATGAGTCCTAATAGACCACTTTTTCCTCCATGGTTAAGCTGCTGCTACAGCAAAAAAAAAAAGCTCAAACGCTCATGGAGGACAGATTAACAGCACTCTCTTCCAGATCACCTGTTCTTTACCACTTTCTCATTCTCGTGATCGCCTTCTATAAGGCGACTTGTCCTTCTGGTGCGCAACTCTCATTCGGGTTCTATTCTGTTGCATGCCCTTCTGCCGAATTTACGGTCCGAAACACAGTCAGAACAGCTTCTTCTAGAGACCCAACTATCCCTGGAAAGCTCCTTCGCTTGGTTTTCCACGACTGTTTTGTGGAGGTATAAACGTCAAAAAAAAAAAATGAAAATAATAATAATAATTTTTAGTATAAAAATGACCGTTTATAGGTGGTTTTTTTTTTTTTTTTTTTTTTTTTTTTTTGGGTGTACTAAAAAGTTTTGGCATGATCATATTTTATGCAGGGTTGTGATGCATCTGTGCTGCTACAAGGAAATGGGACAGAGCGAAGTGATCCAGCAAACGGGTCTCTTGATGGGTATTCGGTTATCGATTCGGCGAAAAGAGTGCTCGAGTTCTTTTGCCCAGAAACAGTTTCTTGCGCAGACATTGTAGCTTTGGCTGCTAGAGATGCCGTTGAGTTTGTGAGAAATTAACTAACTAAAACTTCCTCATTAAGATAGAATGTTTTATATTTATGTTTGTGTTATGTCTTCATCAGTTTTTGTTGTGTGTGTTTATTATAATTGTGAATGAATGGGTGGCCACAGGCTGGCGGACCTGCGGTTCAGATTCCAACTGGGAGGAGAGATGGGAAGGTTTCTTCAGCATCAAATGTCAGACCCAACATCATAGATACAAGCTTTACTATAAATGAGATGACTAAGCTTTTCTCTTCCAAAGGATTGTCCTTGGATGACCTTGTCATTCTGTCAGGTAGATTTGCAATAAAGCTTTGTTTTAACTGTATTCGGTGGAAATCAATGCTGCCCACTGATAATTATAATTAGGTGCATTGGAAACTATTTCCTATTATTTTATTTTATTTTTTTTAACATTCTATAAATCAAATTACTTATTCATGCTAAAACTATTATTGGTTCATCTCTGAGAGAAGAAATGATTAACTAATATGACATCAAAGAAGGGCTGAGCTCTATGCTTAGACCCTTATAACTGTACTTTTTAATGGTCTACAACTAAGATTAGGATTTATTAGGAACTCTATAAATTCTGCATTTATTATTCAATGAGAGAAATTAGTATTTTTTTTTCCTATCCAGTGTTGTTCACAGTTGGTCCACCTCTTTGGTAGGTTATTAAGCCTTGAGATTGAAACATAAGCCTTGAGATTGAAACATAATTTTTTTTTTTTTTATTGAAAGAGACTGAGACATAATTAACAAAAATGGTATTATTTATAGACCTCCATACCTGCACTCTTTAAAATTCTCAAAATAAGAGCTTCAGTTAGCCAAATACTATTGCGTTTTCCCAATATGTCAACAATATTAAGTACCTAGTGGCGCTTTGGCTTAATTTGCAGGAGCTCACACCATAGGAAGAGCTCATTGCAGTGCGTTCAGTGATCGCTTCAAAGAAGACTCAAAAGGGAAACTCACTCTCATCGATGCCTCCCTCGACGGCACTTATGCAGAAGAGCTCATGAAACAATGCCCTGCCCAACCAAACCCCTCCACCACTGTCAATACCGATCCAGAAACGTCCTCTTTGTTTGACAATCAGTACTACAAAAATCTCATGTCCAAGAAAGGCCTCTTCCAATCGGATTCTGTCCTCTTTAGCGATGACAGAACGAGGGAGCTTGCCGAGAATTTCGCAAACGACCAATTCAGTTTCTTCAATAGTTGGAGTCGGTCTTTCGTTAAGCTCACTAACATTGGAGTGAAGACAGGTGATGAAGGAGAAATTAGAGTGTCTTGTTCATCACTCAATGCATAACAGGCAACCAAATTGAGACGTTCAGCAATTTTCCGGGTCCTGATTATCATATAAGCAATAAAATGGTTAATAATGAGTCCCTAAATTAGGAGATAATCACAGCTCAAAACACATTTAGCAAGTATGGTTCCTGTTGTTTATTACAAGGTTTCTTATTCTTTGCTTATTTGTTGGTAGATGTTTGTTCTTGTTGCTACAAAAAGAAGGTTGTATAAAGTGGAAGTGTCCCTAGCTAAAAGTTATTATTTTTTCCCTCCATATAACCGTTGTGGATATAGGGAACAGTAATATATTCTCTGCTGTTCTGGAAGTGGAATAAAAGTGTTGATTTTTTTTTTTTCATTTTCATTTTTTTTTTCATTTTCATTTTTTTTTCAACCACCTCAGTTTTCGCATCTGGTAATGTTTATGTCGTTGTATCCATTTTTAATATTCAATGGTGTATTAATATATCCCTACTGACCAATTTCTGCGCTATTTATCAGTGGTTCTTATTTATATATATATATATATATGCGCCCACACAATATGTAAATTCTCTCTTTTATATTACAAATGAAATTGATATGCCTTTTTAGTTCTTACTTCATTAATTAATTAGCAAAAGCATAAATACACAGAAAGCTAAAAACAGTACTTTTTAAAGCAAAATAGTCTGAGAAAGTGAAATTAGACTAGGGTGAACCCGTTTTTATTCTTTTTCTTTTCTAATTTATTTTAATTATAAAAAAAAGAAGAGAAGGGGATGGATTAGTCACAGATATTAGATTGTGTCTCTAATTTTCTTCATCAATTCCCATCTCAATTACTATAATAGAAAAAAAAGGGAATATCAACGCATCTCGAAATTAACGATTGATCTCTGTTAATAAATCCGCTAATCCCGATATATTACTAAAAAAATTGACATAATACGTGTGTTATATATGCAGATGTTGACAAAAAATGATCCAACGCACTTAAACCTCTCTCAATCGGTTCATGAGAATTTGTTGGCGCCTAATGTCCAAGTTCTTTCTTTTTTTATTTTATTTTAATAAAACTGTTGAAATTTCTGTGATTTAGAATGTACAATTAAAGGGTTTGGTTATTGTAGTTTTTTATAGGTTCTTCTTGGCTTAACATGGTTTTTTATTTTGTGTGTCATGTAGATTTCTAGTAGAAGAGAAAGCAATGCTGATAAGATTTTGCATATTCCTCTACAAAATGGTGATTTAGCTCAAAAATACATGTAAGGATCAATAAGCAAAAAGATAGACAATGTGAGTGGAAAAGTAAGTTTTTGGCAATTTGGCTATATTTTTTGCTTAGATTATATTTTTTAGATAAATGTTTGATAGAAAAAGTAGGGAGAACAACAATGTCATGAAAAATGATTACAACAGTATGACATTAATGTGTGTCGTTTCTGTTTCACTTTTTTTTTTTCATATTTAGTTTTGTTATGTTATTGATAGATCATGCTAATATATAGTACTTAAATAAATTCTCTTTCGTTGTTCTGTTGCTAATAAATGTTAGCAATATGTGTCTTATTTTTCCCCTTTTTCATTAGTAAATATTGCTGAGATATTGACTCTCTGTTCATTTGTATCTCTGTGATATATATACATACCCTTATTGGATATATTTTATCCTTCTTGGGTTGTCGCAAACTATGCCCTTGGTTCTCTTGGAGATGATCCTCTTTGGACTACTGGAATTATTGAACTCGGCGGAGCTTCTGTTTAGGTTTAGTTCCACTTTCTTTCTTTAACTAATCTCCTTTGATGGGAGAAATCTATTTTTATAATATCATGATCGGCATTTAAGTTATATTACCAATCTACTACTGCGTTATTGCAAGTTCATTTAGTAAAAATTCAAAGCATGCCTTTAGAATAGGCTACACTTTAAAATCAAGTTATGAAACACACCTTTCCCCTTCTCTCCAAAGAAGGAATTTTATAAAAATTTACTTGGATCATATAGTGTTCAAGCATTTGATAATGGACGCTAATATTAGTGATGCTTAGACTCTGGTGTGTTTTTATTGCAAGTGACTTTCGTTTCTACTAAGCCAATGCCTTATGAGTATTCCCAAGTTATTATATTTGAGAATATAACTTACAATCTCTACGGTCATAGTTTTCTTCATTTTAGTCAGGTAATTGTTAAGTTTTTTCCTAATTGTGCGTATCTATCTATCAACATGCTTATCTTAACAGATTAAGTAAAATGTCTAGATTGGATGTGAATTAAAACTTTTGCATTCACTCAGGGAGTGCATGTTTGGAATCGTTTTTTAAAACGGTTTTCACGTATTTCGATAGCAAAAAATGAAAATGAAAACAAAACGACGTTTGTTTAACAAATATTTTGAAAACGAAAATAATGAGAATAATTTTTGTGAAGGAATTAAAAAATAGTTGAAAGTTATTTTTCACTTTTCTATTTTTATTTTTTAGTACTTGTCAATAATATTATAATATATTAATTAATAAACATGATTTCACTTTTTTATTATACTCAAAACAATCTCTTAAAAAATTAATTAAACGCAATTTCAGAATCAATACCAGAATGATTATCAAAACAATCTCATTTTTACTTTTTATGAAAAATAAAATTATTTTGAAACCAATTCTAAACGTACCCATCATTTTTTATTTTTTACTTTACAAAGTAAATAGCTGCGGAACATTTAATCTTTTAATTTTTGCCTGTTGCTTCTGGGTGAAGAAACATGACTATTCTTTTTTGAGTTGCGTTGAACCAATCTATTTGATGATTTTCGTGTTTGCATGAACTTTACTGCTTCTGGTCGACCACTTTAATTGCAGTTAATTTTCTTCTAAGATTTTTGTTAGATAAAATTTATCGAGGCAGTATGATATAGTTTAAGGGCCCGTTCATTTCACTGATTCGAGTTTTATTTTAGTAAAAAGCTCTTAAAAATAGTCACATCTAACTTTTTTATTACAGTAAAAAATAATCACATAAAGTCATATATCAACTCAAACTAAAAACTCAAATCAACGAACTAAATGAGCATTAAATGTTTTAACTGAAAATAGATTAGATATATATAATATATATAAACTAATTCTGTACTATAAAAAACCTACACTTTTTTTATAATACAACAGTATTTTTAGGTTTCATTCCAGCTAGTGTAAAACGAAAAGGAAAGAGTAAAACGACATATGAGAAAATGACCACAGAAGCCTACTATATATATTGAAAACATATTAGAATTTCGTTAAGAAAACGTTAAAAACCAGATTATGAATCTGGATCAACAGCCAAAAAGTGTGTATATTTCAACCTATATGACATCTAGTTCTTGTCAATTGAACTACAATTTTCAGGAAATGATTGAGATAAACTTCATTGAATAGAGAGAGATTCATCATTGTTCCTGCGGCGAAAACGACTAGGACTACTTACTAGTGAATGAGGTTATCGCACTTACCAATTGGGCGTTCGCCAAATTCATTTGCCAAGGTTCTGATCACACATTCTTGGGCAATTAAATCAGGAACGCTTAGCGACATTTATATTGCCAATAATATTCTTTGTGGGTACTCAAGACGTCAAGAATCTTGGCTTGCTCACAAACTGTTCGACGAAATGTCTCAGAGAGACAGTGTCTCTTGGAACACGATGATCGCTGGCAATGTAAACCGTGGGAACTTCGAGAACGCGTGGGAATTCTTTAAAAACATGAAAAAATGTGGATTTGAGCTTGATGGTTATACATTTGGAAGCTTACTTAAGGGGGTTGCTTCTGCTCACCAATGGAGTATTGGGCAGCAGGTTCATTCCATGATAGTTAAAATGGGTTATGCTGAAAATGTTTATTGTGGAAGTGCTCTTTTGGACATGTATGCCAAGTGTGGTAGAGTTGAGGACGCATTTCTGGTGCTTGAAGGCATGCCAGAACGCAATCCTGTCTCATGGAATGCACTAATTTCCGGTTATGTTCAACTGGGTGATCGAGATACTGCTTTTTTGTTGTTTGCTTGCATGGAACAGGAAGGCTTGAAGATTGAGGACGGAACAATCGCTCCGCTCTTGACGTTGCTTGATGATGCCGAGTTTTACTTGTCCACAATGCAAATGCATGGCAAAGCTATAAAACATGGTCTGGAATTTGAGAACAAAGTCTGCAATGCCACAATCACTTCATACTCGGAATGTGGTTCTATAGCGGATGCTAAGAAAGTATTTGATGGTTCTTTTGGAACTAGAGATTTGGTGACGTGGAATTCGATGTTAGGGGCATATTTGGTACACAATAAAGAAGAATGTGCGTTCAATCTTTTTATAGACATGCAAAGATTTGGGTTTGAACCAGACATTTATAGTTATACTAGCATCATAAGTGCTTGTTTTGAAGAAGAACATAAGAAGCATGGAAAATCTCTCCATGGTTTGATAATAAAAAGGGGACTAGAACAATCAGTCCCAGTATGTAATGCTTTGATAGCCATGTATCTTAAGTCGAATACTAGATCCATGGTCGAACCGCTAAGTATCTTTGAATCCATGGAGTTCAAGGACCGAGTTTCATGGAACTCAATTTTGACTGGTTTATCACAAGTTGGACTCAGTGAAGATGCCTTAAAATTCTTTGGGCATATGCAATTTGCAATTTTAGAGATTGATCACTACAGTTTCTCAGCTGTCCTCAGGTCTTGCGCAGATTTAGCAACTCTCCAATTAGGCCAACAGGTTCATGTCTTGGCAATTAAATCTGGCCTCAACTCTAATGAGTTCGTCGTCAGCTCTTTGATCTTCATGTATGCTAAGTGCGGTATTATTGAGGACGCAAGGAAATCTTTCGAAGAGAACCCCAAAGACAGCTCAATCACTTGGAATTCAATCATTTTCGCGTATGCTCAACACGGGCAGGGTTACATTGCACTAGACTTCTTCTCCCAAATGAAAATGAGGGAAGAAGTGAAACTAGATCACATAACTTTTGTTGCAGTGTTGACTGCTTGCAGTCATATGGGTTTGGTTGAAGAAGGCTGCAAACTATTAAAATCCATGGAATTCAAACATGGAATACCCCCACGAGTGGAGCATTACGCTTGTGCAGTTGACATGTACGGACGAGCTGGGCGTTTGGACGAGGCAAAAGCCTTAGTTGAATCAATGCCATTTGAACCGGACGCAATGGTGTGGAAGACGTTATTGAGTGCCTGTAGGGCTTGTGGAAACATTGAATTCGCTAGTCAGGTGGCTAGCCATCTGCTGGATGTGGAGCCAGAAGAGCACTGCACTTATGTCATCCTCTCCGATCTGTACAGGCTCCTTAGGCGTTGGGATGAAAGCGCTAGTGTAAAGAGGCTTATGAGGCAAAGGGGTGTGAAAAAAGTCCCTGGTTGGAGTTGGATAGAAATCAAGAACGAAGTGCATGCTTTCAAAGCTGAAGATCGTTTACACCCGAATTCTGATGATATATATTTTCTACTTGGAGTGTTTATGGATGAAATCAGAAGGCTAGATGACGTTGATGATTTAGAAGTTTTCATGTATTCACTTGGATAACGTGAATGGATTTTTGTTTCACATTTGTTATCCGAGTGTGGATGCCATAGAAGGCCCTTAATTTGCTGGTGTTGGCTGCATAGCTGACAGTACAAAGAGACTTCCTCAAATACACCAAATTTTGTTTCACATTTACAAACGTTGTGAATATGAAATTGTTAGTAATTCAGCCAAAATATAATGAATTTCAAGTAAGTTCGCAAACTAAAACGACCAGAAATTTTTACTATCAAAATAACAAGATTTTGGGTTAAAAAATGTTTCAATGGAAGAGTCAAAGACCCGTAGTGTTTTAACTCTATTATTTATTTATTTTTCAAGTAGGGTTCTTCACGGACATAGCAAAATTTAAGTAGTAAAGTTGATATATGACACGATTTTTTAAATCTTTTAAGAATAGAGAAATTTTTTAGATCATTAAATTAATGACTACATTATATTATGTGGTTCAAAATATGATAAATACTATGCAAATATTATTGTTTTTATAATGTTTTGTTCTGAAATTTTTTTTTTAAAATTTCCATGTATGAAATTTTTGTAATTGTCTAAGAAAAAAGGATAATATTGATAAATACCTCTGAAAGTATATGGATTATGATTTTTATCTTTTATTTTTGATTCAAAACTTTTTTAGTCAAAATTACACTAATAAAAAAATATTTATTAAAAATTAAAAATTAAAAATTAAAAGTAAATTCTCAATTTTATCAGATAAAAAAAGGGATATATCAAACTCTCACGCAGTCATATAAATGCGTCTGGGTCCAAAAAGTAGAGTTTCGTTGGGCTTCGTTAGTCGGTCCAATTTAAATCGGGATTTAAACATAGAATCGTAATCCGACTTCCGACCCAAGTCCGAAAAGACATATTTTGTCCCCAACATAAACCCTAGAATTACTTCTCTCTCTATTCTCTCTATCCATCTCCAGTTCACGTATCTTCTTCACAGAGTTTCAGTGTAAACCACCCTGGCCGTCTCCAGAATTCCAGTTTTCCATAACTCGAAGGCTCTGAAAGCGAAACCAAAGCGACGCAAAGTAGAGAAGTTCAATCATGGCGGACGTTATGCTGATGAAAGAGATAGACGACACGGCGGCTAGTTTGGGCATCGATCTCTCGCAGATCGATTTCGATTCCATCCGTCTTCCCCCCGGCGAAGATTTCGGAATCAAGAGGTAATTTTCGATCCAATTCCGCCATAGTTTCAGCACTAAAGCTTTGATTTAGGGTTCTGTTTTTCCAAGTTTTTTCCCTTAATTTGCCCCCCTTTTCTTTAGTGATGACGAAGATGTTTACCGAGATGAAAATTTGGAGTTCGATTCCGGCTTCGGGAACATTATAGTGGTGGATAACCTACCGGTGGTTCCTCGGGAGAAGTTTGAGAAGCTCGAGGGTGTAGTTCGGAAAATCTACAGCCAGATTAGTGTTATCAAGGATGACGGATTTTGGATGCCCGTTGATCCTGAGACCAAGAAGACCTTAGGCTATTGCTTTATTGAGTACAATACTCCTCAGGTAAAAATTAAAATATTCATTCATCATATAAGCCATCGTTTTCCTTTGATTTTAGATTGAAATCAAGGAGCTTCTTTTATATGAAGAAGAATAATTTTAATTTCTTTTTTGTTGGTTGTAAAATTGTCTGTGATTAATATGAACTGAATGGGCACAAACAAGTCTTAGTCCCTTGGCTTTATGGCCAGACTGCGAATTGCTATGCTACTTGGTTTATTTTTTTCGTTACATTGCTGTCGGGGAATTGTGTATTAATTTGTAATATGGTGTAAACTATCTGAAAAATATTCATTGTTTTTATGATTTTTCGGTTTATGGTCACGTTTGTAGGAAGCTGAGCTTGCTAAGGAGAAGACTCACGGGTACAAGTTGGATAGGTCTCATATTTTTGCTGTCAGCATGTTTGATGACTTCGACCGATTCATGAAGGTTCCTGATGAGTGGGCCCCTCCTGAAGTTAAGCCTTACACTCCTGGGGTAATGTTCTAATCCGCTTTCTTGAATCTTCAGCAACTTGTACAAGTCAAGGTCTCGTTCTTTTCACAACTCAAGTCACAACTTAAGTTCTATTACTATAATGTTTTCTCACAGAAATTCAAATTCAACATTTTTGCTATAGTGTTTTTCTATCACATACACAACTCAAGTTAAAAGCTTGAGTTGTGAGACAAACATTTAGGCCTCGTTCACTTTGCGGATTCGAGTTTTCAATTCGAGCTGAGATGTGACATTTTCTGAGAGCTTTTCATTGTAGCAGAAAAACATTTTCTGAGAGCTTTTTACTGTAGAAACCTAAAACTGAAAACTCGAATCGGTGAAATGAACGAGGTCTTAGTGTTTCTAATATCATATCATCTTGCACATCTTTTCCTCGGCTATTAATTGGTCTGTGTTCTTATTGGGATTTTGTTGCAGGAAAATCTTCAACAATGGCTTACTGATGATAAGGCCAGAGATCAGTTTGTGATACGTGCTGGTTCAGATACTGAAGTACTTTGGAATGATGCTAGGCAGCTGAAGGCTGATCTTGTTTACAAGCGGGCGGTGAGTTCAATCATTTTAAGTCATATCTTTTTATGTTGAAAAGGCCACTGTGGGTGGCTGTGGATGACTGTGTGAGAAGGAGAGAACATGTCCGTTTCCAATTATGTATGCAAATTCTAAATGAAGAATTAACCTCAGTCGACAACATGGTTTTTTATATATTTTGTTTCTCTCGTAAATTATTCCATTTGTCGTTCATGAATATTGAGTGAGGAGTTTCATATCTATTTTTTCTTGCAGTACTGGACAGAAAGCTTTGTGCAGTGGTCCCCACTTGGGACTTATTTGGCAACTATTCATAGACAGGGCGCTGCAATTTGGGGTGGTGGCTCTACCTTTAATCGGCTAATGCGTTATGCTCATCCCCAGGTTGTTTTTGGTTTTTTTCTATGTCTTACCCATAATTTTTGTGTGTATTGGTCCTTACCATTTAAGCCTTATAAATTGCAGGTTAGGTTGATTGATTTTTCCCCTGGTGAGAAATATCTGGTGACCTGCAGCTGTCATGAAACAAGCAATCCTCTTGATGCAAATGTGAGTGTTCTTGCCATTCATTATTTAGACTGAAGTTAAATTGTTGCAATCCCTCATGTGAACTTCTTTTGCAGAGGGTTGTGATCAACTTTTTTGATGTGAGAACTGGAAAAGTGATGAGAGATTTTAAGGGAACCACGCATGATTTTCCACTCGGACCTGGAGGTCTTCCAAAATGGCCTGCCTTCAGGTTATTTCTTTGCTCCTGATACGAATCAATCTTTTGAAAAATTATTTTTCCTTCTCCGTTTGAGTGCAGTATGACTATTTTCAATATCCTATCCTGATGTATTGCATGATTTTTTTTCCAGTTGGGGTGGTGGAAAAGGTGACAAGTATTTTGCCAGGATGGGGAAGAATCTTATCTCCGTTTATGAAACAGAAACTTTTTCTCTAATTGACAAGAAGTCTGTAAGGGTTGAAAATGTTATGGACTTCAGTTGGTCACCAACCGATCCAATTCTCTCACTCTTTGTTCCTGAATTGGGGGGTGGGAACCAACCTGCGAGGGTGAGTTTTGATGTTTCATTAGCTTGTCTTTTATTTATTTGTGTGTGTATTATGTTTGTATAGTTGGAAGTGGAGCTCTAACTAATGGGATATATTCAAACAAATCACAGGTCAGTCTTATTCAAATCCCTAGTAAAGAAGAGCTTCGTCAGAAGAACTTATTTAGTGTTAGTGACTGCAAAATGTATTGGCAGTCCAACGGGGATTACCTTGCTGTTAAGGTTGATCGCTATACAAAAACTAAAAAAAGTACATACACTGGCTTTGAGCTTTTCCGTATAAAAGAGCGCGACATCCCTATTGAGGTCTTGGAGCTTGAAAACAAAAATGATAAGATTATTGCCTTCGCTTGGGAGCCGAAGGGTCACAGGTTTGCTGTTATCCATGGTGAGGCCCCTAAGCTTGACATCAGTTTTTACTCAATGCGGGGCGCTAATAATACAGGCCGCATTTCCAAACTTACTACTCTCAAAGGCAAGAACGCAAATGCTCTTTTCTGGTCACCTGCTGGTCGATTTATTATATTTGCGGGATTGAAAACTCAAAATGGAACCTTGGAGTTTTACAATGTTGATGAGCTAGAAACCATGGCGTCTGGTGAGCATTTTATGTGTACGGATATTGAATGGGATCCTACAGGAAGGTAAGTCTGGCGTTATGTTTTTATTGGATATGTTATTAATATGGGTGAATAGCATTATACTTGGGTTAGAAATCATGTGCTGTTTGGATCATAAATTTTTTTTAGGAATTGAACAAAATAAAACCATTTCTTTCTTTTGTATGTATTTGTTCTAGTAATTTGCCTTTTTGACAATTAGGTATGTTGCAACTTCTGTGACCTCGGTTCATGAGATGGAGAATGGTTTCAACATTTGGTCCTTCAATGGCAAGCTACTTTATCGGGTGATGAGGGATCATTTCTTTCAGGTTATTGCCATCTTCCTTGGTTTTAAAGAATACGTGTGTGTTTCAATTCTTTAAATAAATTGCTTCCCTAGATGAAGAGGCTCGTAGTGTTCTTGACGAGTAGAAAAAAGTACACATTTTCACCAGATTTTTTAGGTTATTTTTATGGACTGCTATTGTTTCCTATTTGTGAAAAAAGTGGCGTCAATCACACTAGATAGTGCTTAGAAGGTAGTTGCTTTATTTTAAGTGGGATTCTCACTAGATATTCATTTGTTATGCACATTCGATTCTTACCTAGTTACTTAAATTACATCTCTATCTATTGCAGTTTTTGTGGCGCCCAAGACCTCCATCTTTCCTGAGCCCCGAGAAAGAAGAGGAGATTGCAAAGAACTTGAAGAAGTACAGCAAGAAATACGAGGCAGAGGATCAAGATGTGTCGTTGCTATTGAGTGAGCAGGAGCGGGAGAAGCGGAGGATGTTGAAGGAAGAATGGGATAAGTGGGTTAGTGAGTGGAAGCGGTTGCACGAGGAAGAGAAATTGGCTAGGCAGTTACTTAGGGACGGCGAAGCCAGTGATGAAGAAGAAGAGTACGAGGCCAAGGAAGTTGAAGTGGAGGAGGTTCTTAGCTCCCACGAGGAGGTTCTCGAGTATGATCAGGAGTGACTTTTGTATTGCTAGGAATTTTGGACCCCAACATTTCTTTGCATTTTTGTTTCCTGATCTTGCGAGGAGTTGATTCTTGTCGTCTCTTGGTTCTAATTTTTTATTTTGTTATTCAATATTATAGACTTAGATCTTTTTTGTTGTGCCTTGCACAGGATATGGCCTTGTTTCCTATTTATCTTTTCATATATGTACCGTAAAAAACTAATAAAATGAGATGCCTCTCGTATAAAAATTATATTATACAATATAATACTGATACAATATAATACGTTGTACTAAATGTATCTTAAAATTTTTTATTAATATTTTTAGTTAAAGAAGTATGTTAATTAAAAGGATACAAATCTTAAAACAATGCATTTAAAGAATGAGTTTATTAATTTTCTCTTGCTTAAAAACAAATTCAGATGTAGTCGTCTTTTCGTGGTGACTTTTTTTTTTTTTTTTTTTTTTTTTTTTTTTTTTTTTGACATAATACTAAAGTTTTTCTTTAGCACCCAGATTTACCAACGATTGCTTTGAAGCGGCGGCTCTAGTGTGTGACCGCCTCGACCTAAACATGGTTTTCGCATCCTCTGTTTAACAAATCTAAAATATTTTATTAAGGAAACAGAAGACCCCAAGCAATCCAATTAGAAGGACAATAGACAACGACAAAAAGAACAAAACCAAAAGCATAGGCCACCAATTAAATTTACTCCAGAAGCACACAATTCTTTACGAATACTGATTTAGATTTTCAGCACGAATTATGGCAAACGACGATATCGTAACTAATGGGTCAGTCTCTGCACTAATTTTCTCCCACTCAGAAGACTTATGACGGTATGAATGTCACGCCTTGACCCGAACAACCTTAATAAATCTTTGCGATTCTTCTTGTTAATTTATGTGCTTCTTTTTTTTTTTTTACTTAATATTATCTTTGGTTTGGTTTAATTGCACCAACTTCCAGTAATATAAGTCTCCCACTTTGGTCTGACGTGGAATCCTCAATAGTTTGTTGGGGGTGACACTGGCCATTCATCACCCTATAAGGATGGCAAAACTACGGGCGTGCAATTTTTCCATTTTTCTATTTTTTCCTTTCAGCCGGTTATGGCCTCAGCACTAGGATATATAGAATATGTGAGTGTATATATGCCAAGAAACGCATATATAATTTCACAATTCAGGAATTATAAAATTATAACTTTTTGGAGTCAAGTATTTCTCCATTATGAAATGTTTATAGAAGTTCCTTTGTTCTATTATGTCTCGCACCCGTCTGCTTGACCTCCCATAGGTCGAGATATCAGTGACTCTAATGTCCAATGTGGAATTTAATCTTAGAGCTAATTACGAAAAGGAGAAAAATATAGAAGTGAGAATATGGAAAATGAAGCAATCTCATTGCTTGAAGAAATGTGAAAGAGGAAAATGAACTTATACAAAAGGTAGAATAGAAGTTTGTTACGAATTTGTTACAAAAGCTCCAGCTCAGCAGAAGGAAAAAAAACAAAAACAAAAACAAAAACTAATCTAATTATTTTCTCAACTGGGGACGTTTGGTTCATGGATTCATAACTATGATTAAGAACTATTCTTGTTTTACGTGTGTTTTTTTGTGAGAGAAAATACTGTAACGAACCACGAACAATGATTCAAATCATGGCACGAATCTCCCTTTCAAACGTCCCCTTGTTCTATTTACAAATTTACACTTTTATCCTCAACTCTAATACTCCCCCTCAAGATAGAGAATGAATATTATGAATTCCTATCTTGCCTAAGAGAAAATTGAATTGTGCAGGAAATCACAGTTTGGTCATCAAGCCTGCAATTTGGTGTTGAGATGCAACATGAAGGGTCTTCAAGCTTCCATTTTGAATCGTTTCACGCACAAAATGACATCGATCTCTATATGCTTAGTTCTCTCGTGGAAAATGGGATTCGCTGCTATGTGTAAGGATGCTTCATTATCACAAAACACAACAGCTAGTCTCGGATGTTCAATGTTGAAGTCCTTAAGAAGAGAGAACAGCCACACACACGTTGCATTTTGCCATTGATCTATAGTCAGCTTCAGCAGTAGATCTTGCTACAATATGCTGCTTCTTGGATTTCCAAGAAATTAAGGAATTTCCAATAAAAATTCAAAAACCACTAATGGACCTCCTGCTATCCGGGTAGTGGTGTCAAATGGGCCGGGCCGTCCATGTACGGCTTGGCCCAACCCAGTTCAGTCGGATTTGGCACGGCTCGGTACGGTACAGTTACGGGTCATGCCGACCCGGCACTTTTGATGGGCTAGGGCTGGGCCTCGGCTTATCAGCTAGCGGTCCAAGCTTGGCCCTAGCCCATGAAGGCCTGTGGCCCAGCCCAGCCCGGATTCGGCCCGACCCAAGCCCGCGAAAAAGCCCTCTAGCCCTTTCTGATTGTGACCGTTGGGCCCGCGAAGGGCTCAACGGTCACTATCTGAAAAAACCCTAAAAATTCCCTATAAATACCCCTTAATCCCACCCTAAATCCCACACAATAATTCACTCTCAACTTCTCATCTCACTCTCATTCTATCTCTCATCTTGTCTCTTTGATTTGATTCTAAGCTTTTTTCTCGCGATCACTCATTTTCTTGCTCTTTCATTTACAAAGTTTAAGTTCAATCAATTTCCAAAAAATGCCCGCATCAAACTTTCCTGATTTCACTGCTCTCCTTGAGTTCATATATAATTTCACAATTCAGGAATTATAAAATTATAACTTTTTGGAGTCAAGTATTTCTCCATTATGAAATGTTTATAGAAGTTCCTTTGTTCTATTATGTCTCGCACCCGTCTGCTTGACCTCCCATAGGTCGAGATATCAGTGACTCTAATGTCCAATGTGGAATTTAATCTTAGAGCTAATTACGAAAAGGAGAAAAATATAGAAGAGAGAATATGGAAAATGAAGCAATCTCATTGCTTGAAGAAATGTGAAAGAGGAAAATGAACTTATACAAAAGGTAGAACAGAAGTTTGTTACGAATTTGTTACAAAAGCTCCAGCTCAGCAGAAGGAAAAAAAACAAAAACAAAAAGAAAAACTAATCTAATTATTTTCTCAACTGGGGACGTTTGGTTCATGGATTTAGAACTATGATTAAGAACTATTCTTGTTTTACGTGTGTTTTTTTGTGAGAGAAAATACTGTAACGAACCACGAACAATGATTCAAATCATGGCACGAATCTCCCTTTCAAACGTCCCCTTGTTCTATTTACAAATTTACACTTTTATCCTCAACTCTAATACTCCCCCTCAAGATAGAGAATGAATATTATGAATTCCTATCTTGCCTAAGAGAAAATTGAATTGTGCAGGAAATCACAGTTTGGTCATCAAGCCTGCAATTTGGTGTTGAGATGCAACATGAAGGGTCTTCAAGCTTCCATTTTGAATCGTTTCACGCACAAAATGACATCGATCTCTATATGCTTAGTTCTCTCGTGGAAAATGGGATTCGCTGCTATGTGTAAGGATGCTTCATTATCACAAAACACAGCAGCTAGTCTCGGATGTTCAATGTTGAAGTCCTTAAGAAGAGAGAACAGCCACATGAGTTCACACGTTGCATTTTGCCATTGATCTATAGTCAGCTTCAGCAGTAGATCTTGCTACAATATGCTGCTTCTTGGATTTCCAAGAAATTAAGGAATTTCCAATAAAAATTCAAAAACCACTAATGGAACTCCTGCTATCCGGGTAGTGGTGTCAAATGGGCTGGGCCGTCCATGTACGGCTTGGCCCAACCCAGTTCAGTCGGATTTGGCACGGCCCGGTACGGTACAGTTACGGGTCGTGCCGACCCGGCACTTTTGATGGGCTAGGGCTGGGCCTCGGCTTCTCAGCTAGCGGTCCAAGCTTGGCCCTAGCCCATGAAGGCCTGTGGCCCAGCCCAGCCCGGATTCGGCCCTTGTTCGGCCCGACCCAGGCCCGCGAAAAAGCCCTCTAGCCCTTTCTGATTGTGACCGTTGGGCCCGCGAAGGGCTCAACGGTCACAATCTGAAAAAACCCTAAAAATTTCTTATAAATACCCCTTAATCCCACCCTAAATCCCACATAACAATTCACTCTCAACTTCTCATCTCACTCTTATTCTATCTCTCATCTTGTCTCTTTGATTTGATTCTAAGCTTTTTTCTCGCGATCACTCATTTTCTTACTCTTTCATTTACAAAGTTTAAGTTCAATCAATTTCCAAAAAATGCCCGCATCAAACTTCCCAATGGCCGCATCAAACTTCCCTGATTTTACTGCTCTTCCTGAGCTTGGTGATGAGCCATTTTTCAAAGATGAAATGATGCCTCCCAACCTCACCCCCAATGAACTAGAAAATGCTCTGGTTATAATGCTTTAGTGCACAACAAGGAAGTTGGAGAACACACCAGGGAAAAAAGATCGCAAACTTCTCCTGCATGGCAGCATTTCACAGAGGAGCCCCGACCAAATCCAAAAACAGGTGAAATGGAAATTCATGCAGTATGTAAGTATTGTAAAACATGCTTTTCTAATAAAAAGGGTGGGGGTACTGGTCATTTAGATAGACATCGGAAAGTATGTCTATCGTTGCACCAAAGTGGGAGTGTGGACTCCCACCAACAAACACTATCACTCACATCACAAGGGTTCCAAAATTTTACATACGATGTGCTCGTAAGGCACTAGCTAAATTTCTAGCTAGTGTCGAATTACCTCTTTCTTTTTGCAGATGATGCATCGTTCGAAGAATTCATACAGACGGCCTTCTGTCCGCAATTTAAACGAGTAAGTAGAAACACAACTCGTTCTAATTGTATGAAAGCATTTTATGCAATGAGACAATCTATTGTTGATAATTTTAGGACTTTTAATGCTATTGTATCTTGTACTTCTGATCTATGGGAGGGGTGCAATAAAACTGGATATTTATGCGTCACGGCGCATTATGTTGATGATGAATGGGTTTTACAAAAAAGAATAATAGGTTTTCATTTATGTCCATATCCTCATAACGCATCAGCTATTTTTGGTACAATAATGGAAATTTTTGGGTTTTATGGGATAAAAGATAAAGTTTTAACTATTACTTTTGATAATGCGCCAGCTAACACGGTTGAAATTAACATGTTTAAACGTAGTTTGAAACCAACGTT